GTTGAAGAGCAATATATTCTGCAAGTATAGTAGGCCTGTCTCTTATACACATCTAGATGTGTATAAGAGACAGCACACACTGTGTGCGCATGCCAAAGAATCGTACGGACTAAAGGCCATCCAAGCTGGTGCTTGCAGATACTGTTTGCCTGCCCGAATGTGGTCGCCTTTCTTGCCCCTTTTATATTTGCCTAGGACTTGGCGTAGTAGGACTTGGCGCCTCTGGGCCTCTAGGATCTTGTAGTAGGACTTGGTGCTGTTGGCGATTGATTTGCTGGGTATGATTCTTCTCTCTTTTGTAGATGGGAACACACAACCAGTCTCAAAATTTGTCCCAATTTGTCCCAATTTGTCCCAATTTGTCCCAATTGGGAACACACAGAATTAACCGTTGCGCTGCCCGCTGCCACAGTCAGTGTGCCGTTTGTCCCTCGTCAGAGGGACTCCCCGAGACACAGCGTTTGGATCTGGGTGCACTCACATTATTCTCCTTCGGGGACGAACGTGGCAGCCAAACCGCTACTAGATTCATCCTTTTTTTTGCAAGCACCCTATTTGCGAATATGTCCCTCCTGCCAGGCAATCAAGTTGCCTTCTTTGTCATCTTGTTGTCGTTTGTGTCGGGGAGTGGGTGTGGAGTAGCACACCAAGCAGAGCACAGCAGCCACCACAGGCACAAGAGTTGGTTACAAATGCTACAAGGACAACACATCAAGAAAAGAGTTCTGCGAGCCGTGCAAGGTGTGAAAATGCTGGAAGGACATTGAGGCCCCTTGATGAACGCACATTTGGATCGAAAGAACAGAGTTTGATCCAAGGAACAGAGTTTGATCCAAGGAAAATGCAGGTGTGAAGCCCCCACCACCAGGGGTGCACAGATTGATCCAAGGAACAGAGTTTGATCCAAGGAACAGAGTTTGATCCCAGGGACCGGGTTTGATCCAAGGGACCGGGTTTGATCCAAGGGACAGGGTTTGATTCAAGGGACCCGGTTTGATCCAAGGGACAGGGAAGCCCGCACCATCAAGGAGGCACAGTTTTTTATCCAACGAGCAGAGTTTGATCAAAGGAACAGAGCTTCATCTTAGCAACGGAGTTTGATCCAAGGAACAGAGTTTGATCCAAGGAACAGAGTTTGATCCAAGGAACA